TTGAGCAGATGGCCATAAATGGAAAGAGCAACTGGAGAGAGCCGGCGTACCTTAGCGAGAGCGCGGATGATGTGCAACAGGTGTTTCTGCAGTCGCTGCTTTTAAAAACCTTTGCAAGGGTGAGGAATAGAGAGTTGGCTGTGAATAGGATTGTAGTTTTAATTGACAAGTTGGGGGATTTTTAGTCTTGCTACTGTCTTCAAGTTGCTGTGATCTGTGCTGTAGCAAACTTAAATGCGCTCTCTTGAAGTAGCTTTAAACTATTTTTGATTAATTACTTAGTTTTCATAACCTTTCAGAACTTGAAAAAAAGATGTATTTTTACCTTCTTCCCTTAGTTATCGCTTAAGAAACCCCACCTACATACTGATTGTTATGCTTTGTGTTTTGTTTTTTAACAGCCAAGCCTGCTAAACCCAACATGCAGATATTTTTAGTATCAGAAAATGAAACTAGATATATCTGTTTTGCACACTACTCTTGTATTTTTTTATATAGATATATATTTATTTATCCAAATGCACTGAAAATCTGAAGGTGACCTTTAGATTTTAATAGTTGGAGATGGTACTACTTCTCTGCTCTGCTCTGTTAGTTTTTAACCATCCTCATTACAAGCTGTTTTATTCTGGTTAACTTGAAGGCAGAAGACAATTCCCAGAAGTCTGCTTCTGTAAGGTCTTGAACACCTCATAGAAATGAGGAGCTTGGTTGTGAACCAGAAATCTAATCTAAGATGTGTTGGTTCTGCTTGTCTTGTGTCTTCCTTAAACGACTCTGCTGACCGGAAGGTATGAAAGTTGTGAAGACACCTGACAATTCTGGGGTGTTCGTGTTTAAGATTAAGTAGTGCAGTTATACAGCAATACACGTGGACATTTATAAGTAATCTGTTCTCATTAACTTTTTTTATCCTTCTACAGTGGAGGCATCAGTTCATGGCAGTAATGTGCACTGCACGGATAAGACAATTGAAGCTGCAGAGGCCTTGCTTCATATGGAGTCTCCTACCTGCCTGAGAGATGCCAGGAGTCCTGGTACGTCAGCCATGGTTTCTGCTCCTTGAGCTGTTTCTCCTTCCACTAATTAGTAAAACAGGCAAATTGGGAAACCTGCTTCTGTGGAGAACTGCGTGCTGTTTAAAACATTTGCTTGCTTATTTCAAAACTACTGATGTGTTCTGAGTTTTTATGTGATTTCACCACCCTGTAACAAGCATAGTTATAGATCAAATGAGGTTGTTGCGTAGAGATCCTTGAGGAGCTACACCTTTAAAATGAAATTTTCTGTCTGAACATTGGGAAACGCTTTTTCACTGCGCGAGTGACTGAGCCCTGGCACAGGTTGCCCAGAGAGGCTGTGGAAGTCTCCATCCTTGGGGATACTCAAAAGCCGTCTGGACATGGTCCTGGGCAACCGATTCTAGGTGGCCCTGCTTGAGCAGGGGGTTGGACCAGGTACCCACCAAAGGTCACTTCTAACCTCAGCCATTCTGTGGGTCTGTGAATTTGACATTTTAAATTGCTGAAATAAAGAGTTATTTTAAGGGAAAAGTGTTTTTATCTGTCTTTATATTTTAGAAAGAGTATGTAAATACACTGTTGCGAAGTGTTATCTGTTTAAAAACCCCAAAACTTAATGTTGATGATTACTTTAACTTGACGTTCCTTCTGAAGTTACTTGATATATGTTGGATGAAATAATGGTCAAACTGAAACTCAAAAGCTACAAAATAGGAAATGGAGACTGGAATAAGGATCAAAGATTAAGCTCTAATTTGTGTCATTTAAAGTTGCGTATAGTTCTGAATCATATTGGTGTAATACTTGTGTATTGACAATACTGGCAAGTGTGCCTGCTTTTGGGAATTGCATTGATTTTCTAGGTTACAGGTTGTCAGAGCACAATGTTGCTGCGCTATTGCATATGCTTTGTTTAATTTCATGTAAGATACATTAAAATAATCAGGTAGAAACTTCATGAGATACTATTTTTTTTTTCTTTCTTCCCTCATAGTGGAAGTTTTTGTCCCTCCTTGTGTGTCAACCCCAGAATTTATCCATGCGGCCATGAGACCTGACGTCATCACAGAAACTGTGGTGGAGGTATCAACAGAGGAATCTGAACCAATGGATGCATCTCCTGTTCCAACTTCCCCTGATATGCATGAACCAATGAAAAAGAAAAAAGGTACGTATGGCTCTTCGTAGGAGCAGTCTCAGAATTTATTTCTTATGTGCACTGCTGCAGATGGTGCAGTTGATACTGGTGGAGATAGGTTAGATGGTCTGATTTCTCTGCTCATAATCAGAGTGATTGGAGTCTGAAATGTGAGTTCTTAGAAAATGAGTCTGCAATGAGAAAAAAGAAAAAAAAGTAGCAAGAGAATGGTCTTTGCCAAACTGTAAAGGAAAATTATATCTTTGTTGTTGTGTTTTTTAAGCACAGTTTAAGAAATGGAGGACAGGTAGAGAGGGATTCAGAGAGGACTTGTGTGGGTAACCATTGGTGTCTGAAATACAGATGTGTTTGGAGAGCGGGTAGACTCGGGGTTCTTTCATTGCTGAAACGATGGGGTGAATACAACTTAGAAAACCATAAATCAGTTTACAAAATGAGTACAAGATTTTCCTGTGAGAGAAGTATCCTATTTATCTGATTGGCGTGTCTTGGAGGAGAAGCTATTCAGAATGGTGTTAAGGTCTAAGCATTCAGCTGCCAAATGAGAGGTTAGCACCTGGTGAGGTTTCTCTCTGGTCTGGTGGTTTTCTTACAGGCATCAATACAATTCACATAACTATAGGAATGTTGTTTTATTAGAGCTTCCAGACATGCTAAGATGTTATTGTAATTTAGGGGAAAAAAAAATGCAAAGTAGTGATAAAGTGATATGTATCTAAGGCCTATGAGTTTTAGATTTTAATAAAAAGACGTACACGTAACAGATAACTGTAACTCTACTGTAAATTACATGAGGAAGAAAATGATGATTAAAGCTTTTCTGTAGCTGTAGTCCTACACTGGGTGTAAACTATTTCTTTATATTCCACTGTCTTTTGGCACAGTCACTGCTGGGCAGATTGTGTTACAGGGCTCTGCTCAGGAAGTTCTGAAATTTTATGAAGGTTATTTTTTAAATTTTTTTTTCCTATTACAGAGTCCAAATCCCTGCTCTTAAGTGTGTGAGGTCATTCAGCCATAGTTACAGAGCCATAATTTTGGTGTTCATAATTAATGCCTTTTGAAATTCAGTGTTTAATGAAGAACATTGTTCATCAGCAAAAATTAACGCTCTTGTGCCTGAGGCGGGAGAGTTAATCGTTTCTGCTTGCCTTTAACTGAAGGCAGAAGCATGGACTGTTGACAGCCTGCTGCCGTGGGGTATGATCCTCTCCCCTGCTCGGGCCTGTTTACCTTGAGTAAAAGGGTCACTGAAGTGTGAAAGGATGAAGAAGCCGCAGGTCTTGCTGGGAGAGGATTTCCCTGGCACCACAGGAAGGTAGGCAGCTCTAAGCCTGCTGAGGACTCCCCTCCTAAGCCTCCTGGCAGGACAGGCGGAGGGTAGGAGGGTAGGAGGAGGCGTGTGGGAGCCCTGCCAGACGGCAGCAAGCCCGGGCGGGGTGGCAGGCAGCTGGGAGCTGTGGTGCAGGTAGGCTTCCAGCACCGCCTGGAGCTGTCCTGCATCACTGAGGATGCGGGTGCCCTTTGTAGCCCTCTTAATGCTCTGCCGTAGGTGAATCCCGTGCGGCATCACTCACATGCCGAGTGGAAGCTGTTATCTGTAGCTTTTAATGGACAGGTGCAAGGTGGAAATGGATGTTTACGCTTTCAGTAGTAAAATTTCTTAGGAAAACTGATGATTTGATCAACAGCCATCCTAGAATACCAAAAACAAAGCAGAAGAAGAAATAATACATTTCAGACTTAAACAGACACTGGACTAAAAGAATGCAAATAAATTTTTAAAGTTTTACTTTATTCATTTGGTGCTTACCTCACCTGCCATTGACTTGTCTGATACTGAGTTAAGTCTGCCTGTGAAATAAATAACCAAATGATGAATTAAACTGGATGTGCAGTAGTAGTAATCTAAGAATTTAAGTTTATTGATACCTGTAGCAAGGAAATGCCGGGGGGGAAAATGCACGAACTGCTTCTTTCAGCAAAGACAAACGATAAAATATTTTTATTCTGCGTATGATTAATACTTTTTCCCCCCCATGTTTTTTGTGCAGCTGGCCGTAAACCGAAGACCCAACAATCCGCTATATCTGATGGGTCTCCAGATCTAGGTATAAAGAAGAAACCTAGAGAAGGCAAAGGTATATTTTTCCATTTATCGAGTCTTTAAAATTGTGCAGTGTATATGTATTGTATCTGTCACAGGAAATACATAGATCTTTAAAAATTTGGTGGATGTGTTTGTACTGACTTCGTTAGAGTTTCAATGTTATTTGATGCCTTCAAATTTGTTTGTAGAAGATCTAGCACAAAGATGTGTGGAACTGCTCTAGAAGTGCCTGTAATACACTCTGCAGTTAATAGGCTTTCTGGTTTTTCATTTGCTTTGCTTTGCGTTTATTGACTCATGCTCTCTTTTGTGTTGTGTGTTAACTTACTGCTAGACACATAATTTGCTAGGCTACTGATGAAAGGCTTGTTCTCAAATAGAAGCAGCTTATGGGCATTTGTAACGGTGATGGTTGAAAATACGTTTTCTTAGTTGATTTACAAACTTCAGTGGGAGTATGTTGCTGGACTAATAGATTCAGTTTGGCTTAAGGGGAAAAACAAATGATGGTGTGTTTCTTTACTAGTTGAGTGAGGGATTTTGCGCAGGAGAGTCATACGTTCCTAGTGTTTCTCCTGATAAATAGTGGGTCCTCTCTTGGACTCCATGCCGCTGCTATTTGCCCAGCAGGGAGACAGACTAGGGCATCTGCTCACAGGTTACCTCTGAGTTGGCATAAGTGAATGTATCAGTTCTTCCCCTGGTTATAGGTGAAAAATGGGGATCTCTTCCCTACTTGCTGCACTGAAAGTTGTTTAGAGATGTTGTTATGGCTAAGAGGAGCAAAGTTTAGTGACTTTCAGTGGCAGCATACTAGCTGAAAGAGCGTGCAGTGGTCAGCTCCACTATTATTTTGGGATTTGTTTGAAAGCAAGATCTCTGCTGTTTACATAATTCCTTATCTGGGTACAGCTCCTGAGTCGTCACCTTCATCAGTAGGGCAAGGAAGAATGGGACTGATGGTGTGCAGATGTTAGCTCATGAGAACCAGTGCAAACAGTCATTAGACTTCCCTGCAGTGGCCACTGTTGCTGTCTTCAGATTTGGGTGTAGCAGTGGACATCAGTGAAGATCACAAATTTTGCATCTGGTGTAATTAAAAGTACATCTTATTTAACTTTTTTTTTGAATATTCCTAAAGGCTTCTTAGCTTGCTTTCTAATTCTGATTACACTATTAGAGCTTTCGATTAACTGAATAGCACTCATAAAGTGTCCCAGTTCCTAGTTTGCGGCACAAATAGCTTTGAGAAAGGAGACCTGTATTTCTGACTCTTCTAGTTTTGAACTGTACTGGTGATTTCACTCTATAGCTGTTTGTTCTATGAAATGGGTGATGTTACAGTTTGGGCTTGGTGGGTTTTTTGTGTTTTTTTGTTTGCTTGTTTGTTTTTTAAATTTCTGTGGACCCTCATAATAATCTGCTTAGATCTCTTGTTCTTACAAGGTATCTCATTCCATATTTTACACTACAACTGGCATAAGATACATATTTTTTATTTCTTAATGTAGGCTAACTTGATGTCCTGCAAAATATTTTGTTACTGGATTTATTTTTTGTTATTTATTTTAAAAAGTACTTGCAAATATAGGCTATTTTACATGCAGTGTGTTTTTGGAAAACCAGGAATTATTCCTAGAGCTGTCAGCAGAGTTAAGTCACGGAGGAGGAGGACAGCTGGTTGTGCACATTTGGAAAGGGGATCGCTTGTTGCCCATGTAGGTACTCCTTCCTTTGTGCATTCCTGATACTTTCTGATGCAAAGTGAAGCAGCTGTAAATCTGATTGAGTTGTGCCCTTCAGTTTATTATACAGGAGGAACTGGAGACTTCTTAGTATTTTTTCTTAAAGTGAGATAGTAGTATTTTTTTGTCCTCACATAGTGGATTGGCAGTTTAGGCATGATTTCTCTTTCCATGTTTTGTTTTTCATTTGCATAAATACTCTTTTTAAAGTATAGGCAGTTGAAGGGAGCAAAACTGGCTTTGAGCCTCTGCACATAGATGCTGGTACCAGTGCAACAGTTCATTGATACACACAATCCCTTGTATCACTCACATACTTTCTGGCCATTAATCCTTGTATTTTGAGACGACAGCTAATGTTCTTAAGTAGCTGGCAGCTGTAATAATTGGATAGCCACAAAAATTTCTTTCATTATGCAAAATCTACTCTGTGTTGAAGTTAAGATAGGTAATAATAATGTCTAGCTCAGTGGTCGCTTACAGTTCTGGGTAGTGTGAGACCTTTCAGGAGTGGAGACAAGAGAGGTGTATGCTGTTAAATAAGGCTTCTGTCTTCCTAGCAAGGTGCAGTGCATGTTTGTCTGCCAGGCTGGACTTATGGATGGTTAAGAGTGACATGAATGTAAACCTGTTCAGATAATATGTTTTACAGCCAGCCATGTCTTTCTCCTTGGAGGTCTGTAAGCTTGGGTTCATAGTATTAGGCAGGTCTGGTTCTAAGGAGAAAGGGTTTAAAAATGATTCAAAATTGTGTTAAACATTTCTAAAATAAGCTTTTTGTGTTAAACGTGTAGCAGCTATAGCTGACACGGTATCCCACCTGAAGTATTGCTGGGTCTTACTAGCAATAGTGGATAGCTTCTCAGTAGTATGGGTATTGCATAGTCCTCCTGTGGGAAAAAAGTTGTTATTTAGGTCAGTACAGAATATGAGGGAAAAGAAGAAAACTGCTGAGTCAGCAGCACTATTCCTGCAGAAAAATTAGGCATTGTCAGGAATGGTTTCTCTTGAAGTTCCTGCTTACATCCTAATACTGAAGCCCGCTTACATTTTTGCAAAGAATCTGTTGCAGACCTACAGCAGTTGATGGTGGACGCAGAAATTCCATTTCCGAGGAGCTAAGGAAAGAAAAAGAGGAATTAATTCCCTAAATTAATTCTCTGAAATCCTGGTTTTGGAATTCCTGAGTTCTCTTGGTGACTCTTTCCTCATATAGGTCCTATTCACATGTCTCTGAAATCCAGTGAAAGCTGGATTTTGGTAGCTCTTGAGTCAGTACTTGCTGTTTGTTGGAGCATGTGGTAAAGTACATTTATTCTCTGTCTATGAGGTGGTCTTCCAGAAGATTGAAACTATAATTTTTTTTACCCTTTGAGGTTTTCCAAAGATAGCTAACTTCTTGGAGTCTGCAACAGTGGTCTTTAACCTGCCTTAGTGTATTTTAATTGTCTTCAGCATGGCATAATAAGCGCTATGCTGGGCCACTAAATTTCAGGAATTAATGACTGTTTTTCGCACAAAAAATATATTAATATATTTTTGTTTGGCCCATGTCACCCTCTGGAAGCGTGATCAAGTAAAGAATTACAATCAACGTTCTGAGATTATTATTCTTGTAGCTCTGTCTTTAGTTCTCCCTTCTCAGATAACTTGAGGAGTCTTCTCCAGCTGTACAAATTGGAATGTGATCTGTTGTTTTTTTCCTTCTGCTCCTCTTCCCCTTATCCTAGATGCCGATAGTATAGTCAGAGTGCAGACAACCCCCATGTTAGGTTTTATGCTGTCCTGATAGTCACTGTCGTAAACCCCATCTTGGTGCTCCTCCTGTGGAAATGGTACACCTCTTGAATACCTGAGTACTACATTAAATTCTTCTTCTGTAGGCTGACTTGATTCTATATCCCCCTCATTACAGAAAGGTACGTGGGATTTCTGCCATATGAATACTTGCAGCAAGAAGTTGGACTGGCTTTGCACCCAGAAGGACGTTGGTCACTCGGCAACGTAAATTTGGGAAGGATCAGACACGGGGCTGTCACCAGTCAGTGTCAGAGCCCCAGATCCTGGACAGGAGGTTATATTACAAACTTACCACAGTTGAGATGATTTGTTTTCGAAGGTTGTATGCCTTTGAAAAATTACTTATTTACATCCTCCTGTTCTTCAGTGTCATAAAATGCACTGGCGTTTCCATTCCTTGTTTAAGCAAATACGAGGAGAAGATTCTGAGCTCTTAGCCTGCCTCTGCTGAACAGATGTAGGTTGTAGTGACTTGGAACGCCCTCTTATACTTCTTTTCAAGAACCGGGAACAGGCACTGGGTTGAACAGGCTCCTGTGCTATATAGCAGATCACTTGGATTGGCTCCTTTCAGAATGTAAATATTTATGGAAGCTTTACTAAACTTCACAGAGTGAATGAATATGTGCAGATTACATTACGTACCATCCTCTGTGTAACGTTTGCTTGTAATGCTGATCATTCAGAGTTACCTATATATGGAGAACTTTCTGTTACCTTTAAAAGTGGATTTCTAATATTTAAATGCTTTCTGATTGTAGGAAATACAACATACTTATGGGAGTTTCTTCTGGACCTTCTCCAGGACAAAAATACGTGTCCTCGATACATTAAATGGACTCAGCGAGAGAAGGGAATCTTTAAACTTGTGGACTCAAAAGCTGTTTCCAAACTATGGGGAAAACACAAAAACAAACCTGACATGAACTATGAGACTATGGGAAGAGCTCTGAGGTAAAAACTCTTAAGTTATCTACTGTAATTTTAAATCTGAGTCTTAATTTTACCTATAGAAATATAACAGTTTTGAAATTCTAAAAGCTTTGCCCTCTTGCTGACTTAGCTGTTTAAAAAGCATCAGAGTCTTGCAGTTCCTGTTGCTTTTTTGTTACCAGTTAATTTGCAATTTAATTCCTGGAGTATGTATTTAAAAGGTCAGATTTTTTTTTCAGCTAAATCGTTCAGATGCTTTATCAGTATGCTCTGCCAGCTTCTTTCCGTACCTTCTCACGATGTGGATTTTACTGTCATTACTTCAGTTTTTCTTGTTAGCATGGAATGAGGTTTTCTTTAAAACCTGTCACTATGTTGTTTCCTACTTAATTGTACTTTTCTTGCAGATATTACTATCAAAGAGGAATCCTTGCAAAAGTTGAGGGACAGAGGCTTGTATATCAGTTTAAGGAGATGCCAAAAAATATAGTTGTCATAGATGATGACAAAAGCGAGTCCTGCAATGAAGATTTATCAATGCCTACAGATGAAAAGTCATTGGAGAGAGTGTCTTTATCTGCAGAAAACCTTTTAAAGGCAGCAACCTCTGCACGTGGAGGAAAAAATTCCTCTCAGTTAAGCTGTACCAGAACAGAAAAACCAGTCACCAGAGTTGTGAATATTGCCTCACCAGCGCATGATACGTCGTCGTCTCGTCCCTCAACTACCACTACTACTGTCCCAGCAACGACAGCTCCCAGGTTTGTATTAATGTGGCTTGGGCTTGTCATTTGCTAATGACAAGCAATTTTTTGTTTAGGAAGCTGTCTTTTATTTTTTTGGTTTATGTTCTAAATGTTGGAAGTCGTTTCTGATTCGCAAGCAGCGGTGTAACGTGATAGAATACTCTGAAATTCTAGTTTTTGAGATAGAGCCAACTGTCAATATGCTTGCCCCTGCCCATATTTTAAAATTATTTAGAGAGAGGGATGGAAAAAAAGTGAGACGAACGCTGCTAAATTTCCAGAGTTCTATTGCCAGATGTGCAAAAGGTTTGAGCGGTGTTTTTTAGTGTTGTGGTTTTTGTTTCTCAGTTTGTTTTTTTTTCTCCAAAGAACCAGTTAAAAATCTGTAAATCCTAGATTTGCCTGTCCCTGTTGTCATCTCTAATGGTGCCCTGTGTTTCAGCTTAAACACACACATCTATCTTTATTTTGCAGGACTGTACGTGTGGCAATGCAAGTGCCTGTTGTAATGACCTCTCTGGGACAGAAAATCTCAACCGTGGCAGTGCAGTCAGTAAATGCAGGGTCACCATTAGTAACCAACACAAGTCCAACAACAGCAACAACTCCAAAGGTAGTAATCCAGACAATCCCTACTGTGATGCCAACCTCTGCCGAAAACGGAGACAAAATCACAATGCAGCCTGCCAAAATCATTACGATCCCTGCCACGCAGCTTACACAGTGTCAGTTACAAACAAAAACGGGCCTGTCTGGGTCAGGAAGTATTAACATCGTGGGAACCCCGTTGGCTGTCAGAGCACTAACCCCAGTGTCTATAGCTCATGGGACACCAGTAATGAGACTATCGGTGCCTGCTCAGCAGACGTCTGGCCAGACTCCTCCCAGGGTGATTAGTGCAGTAATAAAAAGTCCAGAAGTTAAATCCGACACAGCGGCTTTAAAACAGGAACGTGAAGTGAAAACACTGCAGCTGGTAAAAGAAGAGAAGCCGGCAGATGGAAGCAAGACTGTGACCCATGTAGTAGTAGTTAGCACGCCCTCAGCTATTGCCCTTCCTGTAACAATGAAAACAGAAGGAATCATAACATGCGAGAAATGAAGAATAGGTTGCTTCCAGCATGGACTTCTAGACTGTTACGGTTTTGAATATACTGACATAATTGGGGGAGGGAAGTGGATGCAATCACCAAGTCGAAAAAGAGAGTTTTGAAATGTTAATAAACATGCATATGTTGAAGACTTACTAGAAAAAAGTTTATTTTCCCGTGTTTCAGTGGGAATCAAATCACATTGATATGCTGACAAAAACTGCCTCTTCCAGTTGGGAAACAGCTGAACCTATGGAGAAGGAAAGATAGAGGGACTGAAAAGGGACCAAACAGTTCACTACGCTACCCGTTACCAAGTTACACTAAGACCTGGAACACTAAAAGAGAGTTGTGTGAGAGGTTTGCCTTGGTTTTCAGTTTTCAGGGGGAGAGGAAAGTCTCATTGTTATAAATGGCGCAAATTTGATGCATTGTATTTGCATACCAGCAATTACTACTGTGTGCCCACAGTACTCAACTGGTGCTACGTGAAAAACTCTGCTACTAGGTATTGTAGAATGTGAAATAAAGGAGAAGATTAAAGAGCTTCTAAAAGAAGACAGAGACCTAGAGGGATTTTTGTATCATACAGCTTAAGCAGATTCAAAATGAAAGCCTTAGACTGATTTTCAGTTATCTTTCTTGAAATAAGCTAATGGCTTGTTTGTGTAAAGCTTTTTTATTAAAACAAATTTTTTAAAAATCTTGTACCTAGCACAGTATTGTTATAGAATTACATGTAACATATTTTGTATGGTAGTTAAAAGTCTGTCTAAATTTCTTAATTGTGGACAAAATAGCAGCAGGCTTTCCGCCTTCTGCTGTAACATGCCTGTGTCTCTCACTTAGCCTTGACATCCGTGCATACATTTCAGTTTCAGCTCTACTCTGTCACTTGAAAGGTCACGCCCAGCATGAGCTTTTGTCAGGTAGTTCTAAACCTGTACATTTTTTTTAGTTGAAGTTAAGAGGGAAGTACCAGTGTTCAGAATGAACTATAATAGTTTGTATATTCAACATTTGAAGTATATTCTATTTTGTTGTACTCTTGTTTCAAAGTGTATTCAAGTAGGTTTTACTGAAATATAGACATGAAATTTAATGGTGTTTGGTCTGCTTTTTATTTTTTTACTTTTTCCTCTCAACCTCTTAACCTTCTTTTCTGCTTATTTGAAATCTTCCAGGCATTCAGCCTAAGATAGCTGATACAGTTGTGGAAGTTTGGAACTCCTAACCACCAGTACTCCGAACGGCTGACCAACTCTCTCACACAGTACACTGAAATATTTTTCATTGAAATATCTACGAAGCTTGCGGTAGTCGGTGAGGTAACTTCTGACAAGGGTGTAGTTCTCTTACGCTTTTTCAGGACGGTGAGCATATGCAGTGTTCTTGCATTGTGACTTATCGCATGAGTGCTTGTGGAATAACTTGAGCAGCTTAAGAAGTTAATGCTCTGCCGCTGACAGGTGGGATCTTTGTGTGCATTCCCAGTTCTTTTAATGCAAAAAAGACAGGGTTTGCTTAAATGATGCTGAGAATAACTTGTGACTCTGTGAACTACCTAACTATTCCTGCAGCTACACCTCGATTTCCTAAGGCTGCACTGCAAAGGAAAGGTGGAAATCAGCAGACTTGGCTACTCCAGTGTACTGATCTCTCTGATGATCTCATAGAGGCAAGCTGAAAGTAGCAGTAGGTAGAAACTGAAAAAAGAGAAATACTTAGTTATACTGCTGGTCCTTTTGATGATTGCTATTGACATTTCTAGCTGTTAATATTTTGGCTTCAACACAAATACAGGGCATTAGGTAGATGGCTTTTTTTCTGAATGAAGTATTTAATAGGTTTTCCAGTTATAATTGCACTGAAGTTAGGGGTATGATGATATATTACCAGAGGGTAAAGCTCGGATGAGAACACACAGGTCAGAAATTGCTCCATAGTTGCAGTCCAGGTGGAAGAATTTGGCTTAAAATAGATGCAGTGTAGCTTATCCTGTTTAACTGGGGACCACACTGACACTACAAGAGTTACTGGAGAAGCAGCACATCAGCTTGGGGGTAGCCAGGTGCCCAGTGGTACCCCCAGTTCCTAGTGAGATGCCCTGGAAAGTCTTCAGAGCAGGAACTGTGGGAGTCTGGAAATAATTTCACTCTAAGTGACCATCTAAGTACTTCATGCCTGGAGGAGCAATTTTAACAGAAGTCTGGAACTGAGGTCTTCAGTAACGATAAAAGAGACCACAGTGAAATACTTCTATTGGACTTTATTTTTTCCCTTTATCTTTTAATACTGAAAAACGAGTTACCTCTAGAGTCCTAGCAGTAAGCCCCATTCTTCCCTTTGACTGGTCAGAAATGTAGGAATAGCTCCATACAGCCAGGCCAGCATGTGGGGAGCTTTGAAAGTTATCTGAAAAAGGGATTCTTTTTCATACTCTAAACAGGGAAGCAGAGTTTAAGACCAAGTGAATGAACAAGGTGAAGCAGGTAAAAAAGTGTGGTGTAGAAGGCAGCAGTCCCTTCCACCAGCAGTTAATGCAAAGAAGCAAAGGTTCTTACAGATGAGCTGTGTTTCTGGTCTGGGGTAGAGGACAAAGACTCCTTCACAGGAGGAAATGTGGAAGAGGGAAGAGGATTTGTGTGGCCAAGAAAGAGGTAAGACATCAAGGGAAGTAGGGGGAAGCTTGGGCAATGGGTTGACTAATTTGGTAGTCTGAGAGGCACTAATGTTCTGGGTAAAGGGAAATGGAGCAGTGTGAAGAGAGACAGGTAAAACAAATTGGAGCTAGAAGACGAGAGAAAAGTAATAGCATTTGTAAACCCACATTTGTAAATCTTTTCTGCAAGAAATCTTTTTCTAAATGGGTTGTTTGATCACATATGAAAGAGAGATGGTATATCTCAGAGCATGAAACGTCTGTCTCTGGAGTGTTAGTAGTTAAGGCCTTTTCGACACCTAATTTAGTTACAGTGGAAGTCAAATGGGGACAAACTATCTTCCTGTAAACAGATAAGGCTCTCCAGCTGATGACCTCCTTCTCTTCGGTTAGAGCCAAGACTTCAGCATGTAATGTCAAAAATGAAAGGAATGACGGTGCATATCTCTGCTACCGGTGAGACAGGCAGCTTGCAGCCATGCTCTGAGACGCTGCTGTTGCTGTCAGTGCTGCATCTTGCCACAGAACTGGCAATGGCCCTTTGGCTCTACCCCGGCCACCCGGTGTGCGGCACAGATGCCACTGTCTGCCCGAGGACATTTGTCAGATGTGTGTTAAGTGCTGTGAGAATCTCAGTCATAGTGTATGAGGATGAGCCATAGCTGAAATGGTACTTAACCCAGCTTCAAACAGTGAAGGCCCTTTTTGTTAACCTTTCTGTCTATGCCTTTGTGCTCCTCACTTTTTTTTAATTTAGCTGCTAGCTAGAGGTTACAGACAGGCTTTTTGTCAGAGTTGGGTAGCGATTTCAGCGTATCTGCTTAAGCACAGCTCTTCGTATTGCTTTATGTGTGTGCTTGGTTCCTCTGAGTTGTTCTGAGATCCAGTTCTTCAGAGGTGGTGTGTAATCTAGGTAACAAGCCTTGCTTCTTACAAGAGGCAGCCTCTCCCTGGGAATTTCTGCAGCTAAGTGTCAGGGCAAGATTCCCACCTGTAACTGAAAGTCTCAGGTCATTCTCTAGGTCTGTGCAAGCTTGCTTGTCAACATGCTGCTTTGTGTGAACGTAATTAATTACAATGTGGGCAAGAAACATTTTTACTGGTAGAGGTGGAGGACGTGACCTCAGGATGAGAGCGCTTTGGTCAGCTTTGTAACATCTGTGAAGATGTTAGTGAAGTGAAGTATCTAGCTATGTGAAGAAGTGAAGAAGTTAGTGTCTAGCTGTGCTCCTAGGCTTTTGCAATCCTGTTGAAAAAACTGTTATTTTGTCCATGTGTGAAAGCAGGACTCGCTTTTACATCTGAAGCTGGTGGCTCAGGTAGAAGAGTCCAGGCTTAACTCATCCTTGGCAAGTAGTAACTTTCGTAGATGTGCAAGTGGAATGAAACTCTGGTGTGAAGTGAGCACGCTTTATACAGAGGACATTGAGACATGGTATCACTGATTTTTTACAGAGATAAATACAAACATTTTTATTTTTAAAATAACTATTATTGTAAGTTACAGGATGGACAGGGTAATGCTGTGTAATCCACAGGAAAAAAAAAATCTAAGTGTGAGTTGCAACTCAGAGTAAAGATCCAAGTATCAAAATCTCTGGGTTGTGGCAAGAAAAGTTGGAAGGGGAATCCCATCCCAGAGACCACTGTTTGTGTTACTCTCTCTTGGACAAAGTCCGGCTTGCTTAGCGAAGGGTTCTGTGCCTTGACACAACTCAAGTGATCCAGGTAAGGTGTGCTGCAGAGAAGGCTGAGCTCTTGGGATCCTCTGCTAATTGATTTCATCAACTTTAGGACTTTGGAGAATTACATCTGAGCTGGTGAAGGATCAGTGAGCCAGGGCAGTCAGGAGTTGATGAGAAAGCAGAGAGATGCCTGCAGCCTCAGTTCTTGCTCACTGTGACACGTGCAGCGGGGATCTCGGTTATGCGTGAAGATTGTCACAGCCAGAACAAGCTAAATTCAATTTCTACCTCGTAGAGACAGTTCAAGTAGCAGGTATTAAGCTTATTAAGTGAAGAAGATCCAAGTGACACTTACCTACTTCTGATCTAATTGTTCTCTGAAAGAAAGTGTTTTAATAGGCTTGCGACAGCTTCTGCCTTTCAGCAAATTAAGTAAGTGGGTCATTTCTTCCTTCAGCTAGCTTGAGGGTGAGGGAAAACTGTCACTGCTGAAGCTAATGCAGCTTTTATTCAAGATTAGAGCAAGGGATCTGCTGAGACTTTTTTTAGCCTTGGTGTGCTTATAAAGCAGCCAGCCACAAGAACTTTGAAGACATTTTTACTGTAAGAGTCATACTGCTACATAGGAAAAAAAAAATAAAAATTAAAAACCTCCCTGCTTCTTCGTATGAAAAATATTTAGTGTACTGGTATTTATAGCAGGCAAAAGTACTCAGTGCTGCAGGCCTGCCTCTTGCTGAATACAACAAAGCAAGAGCAGTATTTCACTTAAGTTTTTGAAAGGAGTCTGTCTGCAAAATATATTTTATAGCACATACTGGAATAAAAGGGAGAAGCTGACTGGGAAGTTATCACTTAATTTCTATGTCTTGTCTACCTTCTATTGAAATACATCAGAAGGGGTTCACTGTTGCGCTATAGCAAGGATGTGTGACTTTCCGAGTATGATAATATGAGGGGGACAGTCCAGCCTTTTCACAGTTATTCCACCCTCCCCTCGCCTTCACAATTACCCTTTAAGGACATGAAGCAGTGAACATCTACTGTCACGTGTCTGGGGTGAAATAAGAATCCCAGCCCTTTCCACTTTGGAAGAGCTCTGTAGTGATGGAAGTATTATACAAATCAGGCTGTTTCTCCAGAGTTTGTTTTCTTTTGTAGGACAGTTAGCGTTGAAAGCAAGGGTCTGAGTGAAACCGTGTAAGAAGTGTCCAGATACCAAATATCATCACCCTGTGAGGGTGATGGTGGGGGGTTTGTAGCTGTGGTAATTAGCTCCTGCTGGTAAACAAAGCCTACCATAATCGGTGCTCTGGCTCTGTGCCCTGGCAGTGGTGAAACAGTACCACGTTGATGGACACCCTCCGCTGTCCTTAGGAAAACAGAGCTGCTGATGCAAACGTAAAATGGAAATTAAGGGCTTTTTGGTGGTGGTGGGTTTTTCGGTTGGTTTAGCGGGTTTTTTTTGTTTGTTTTGTTTTTTAAATACAGAACTGAGTATTGTCCTTGCTCTCAAGTCACAGCTTTCTACCACAAGTGTACTTTCTTCTAGAAACTGCCAAAAAGGCCTTCTGGTATGACTTTCTGTGGTAGATAAGCAAGGATTTGACTTATTAAAGGTACCATCTTATAGGTCTACATTGTGGTCTTGCTTTTGGAAGTGTTTACCTACAGATGACTAGATACCTCCATTAATGGGCAATTGTATTATTTCTCCTCCTTGCAAAGACCATTTTTGAGGGAAGGTCCTAAGAGAAGATAACCCTAAAGGAGAAGCACTGCATCTCACCGCCTCAGAGTGCAAATGAGGGCCGCCAGCACCACGAAAAGGGACCTGCCTGAGTCTAGCTGGTATGAAACACTTATGACAGGGATGCTCAAAGGTCTGCCTTTCTCTGGGGCCTTGGGAGGGTCTCATCTCTGGCCCAGAATCTCCCCCAAAGGAGCCACCCCTTCTGGCTTCCAGGGTCACAATTTGCGTTTTCTGAAATTTCAGCTGAAGGAGGCCCTGGCTGGCAGTAGTCGATACGTCACATCTGCCTGGTAAGAGTGTTCACCAAGGAAGTTGGGCTTCTTGGTTGTAAAATCCTTTCTGTCTGGGGCATTCCAAATCCACAGTCCTGCATCCCAGGCTGGTTAGAGGGGCCCCAGGTCCTCTACTTGGAAGCAGATCATCACCCTCATCCGCAGTATTTCACTTAGCAGCAACACAAGTGAAATAATTTATGGGCTGCATAATGCACATACCTGTGGCATTTCTTGCTCTTCAAATGACATTTTAAAAGAAAGTGACAAATACAGCTGCCTGTTGTGAGGAGCCAGCTCTGCTAGGCATATTAGCAGCCCTCAGGGAGGAATACTTGCACCCTGCTTCGCAGTACTGGCCAGGTTTGTAGCTCCACACAGCTGTCAGAGAGGGTAATATTTACAGTAATACAGAGTCCAGGCTTCATCTTTAGCTAGGGGAGAGAGCAGCTTAACTTTAATCACTAGGGTAACTCCCTTCCCTACAGACTTGCTGTGGAATTTGGGCATTTCAAGTTTGAGAAAGAGCACTTGCCATGAAAGCAAAGCAGCCGTGCCAACTTGTAAGATCAGAACTGCGGGGTTGGGGGAAAGAGGTCTGGAATGGAATCACCGCTAATTGGAAGCTCAAACAGTCACTACTCGAGACAGATCGCCTACTTATGCTAGGGAAATGAAAAAGATGACAAGAGACATTACTTTTTTTTCCAAAGACTTTTATTAATAAACACCTGGAACATTTAAGAGCTACTACAGGCCTTAACTTTACATGGAAGTACTGCTTTATTTGCTGTCTCATCTTTCCCAACTATCTAAACATTAGCCCAACTCCAACTGTTGTCTCTCTTCCTTCCTCTCTTCCCTCCCTTATTTTCCGTCATGGTGGCATGTTTACAGTCCATATATGCAATACCTACGTCATACCAATGAGCACCGCTCTATGCGCAAGAGTTACTATACTAACAGCTCTGTTGTAGCCTAGGTGCTTAGCCAGAATTCCCCTGGGCCATGGAAAGAGGCTCCTAAACACCATTGCTGTATGATTTCAAGTCAGATGCAGGATCGCCAACTTCTCTCAATAAATAAATTTTATCTTCTAACAGGTTCCAGTGTAGCTTTAGATTCTGAAGATAAATAAAAGAAAGTCTTTCAACATGAAGATTGGCCCTTTACTGAAACAGCAAGATTGACAAGACTACAAATTTAAACCATTTAAAAAAAGTCATACTTGAAGCAGAGGAGGAAATACTCCCTGGTTAGGTGTGTCCTCTGGAGGGAAGCACAGAAGAGACAAAGGTAACAGTCACTGTGTATACATACCTACAGGCCGTACGCCTGTAACGGACTCGTGCACATTTATCTGGAAAAGTGAGGATATTACTATGTGATGTAATTACCCTCTGTTTCCTCACTTGCTCTTACTGGAGGGAGCCTTCCTCACACTGCGCTATTATCCATTCACTTTTAATGAAATCATCGTCTCTAGTGACGTAAAAATGAGAAGACAACACTAGTATGAGCTTAGATTTGTTTATGTCTAAACTGCATTAAACTTCCTTTGTATTGCAACAGAAAAAGATTTAATAGAATCTCACTGAGTAGTCGAGCCTCGTTCCCCTTGGTACTTGCACAAGCTTAACAGGAAATAAATAAAATTAGCATGCTGTCAGGGAAAGTTGTTTTACAAAGACAAGTGTTTTGATTTAAATACTAAGGCCTCCACATTTGTTAGAGGATTAAATCCTTAAACACTGGGGTTAGTGAAAGGATAAAGCTTATTTGCCTTCCAGTTTTCAAACCCCGACATGGCAAGAACACCATGACGAGAACACCAACTCCTTTCTTCCTCCCTTGGAGGCTCCAGATTAACAAGCGCTGAACGGCAAGTGTAACTCCAAACAAGTGCCTGAAATAATGTTTACTCAACAGTATTTCCTCATCCTTCAATAGCTTCCAGCTTCAAAAGTTCTTTCTCAAATTAATGGTGAGTTAAAGACACTGCAATACCAGGTGGCACTCCATCACATTACAGCAGTCTGTCGGGGTCTTGATTAAAACTAAAGTCACACACCAGAGACAGGTGATCGGAAGGGTAATTGAATGATGGCAGCCTGTTGGGCCCAATTTGCTCTTCAGTCAGCAAGCCCAGGGCTGAGTTCACATTCAAGGCATGCTGGGAATACCAGATATAATCCAGCGTGTGCCGGCACTCTCCCGAGGGCCGGATCTTCCAGGTGGTGTAAGGGGGCTCCGACTGCCCGTCGGGGCTCAGCAGCTTGTATGCGCTGTTTAAGTTGAGGCTGGAGTTGGAAAATTCTCTGTAGACCTCCTCAGTTGGCTCCGCGTTGAAGTCTCCACAGATGATCAGAGGGATCTTTGCCCCTTGAGTAATACTCTTCAGGTTCTGGAGAAGATCACAGCCTTGCGCGGACCGAAACCTCTCCCAGCCGGTACGGGCTTTCAGGTGAGTGACGGCAATGCAGAACAGTCTTCCAGTTTCATTGCACTTCAGCGTCTGAGCGATGGCCACTTGGTTGGTCTTCAGCTTCATGGCGGTTAGCCGGATGTTAGCGCTGTTGATGAGCTCAAAGCGGTCTTTGAGGAAAAACAAGGCGCAGCCATCCGGTCCGTTGTTCTGCTCCACATCTAGGCACGGGGACCACGGCTTCGGGAAGAAAGTACACTGGTAGCCGAGTCGGCTGAGGAGTGGCTCAAAGGTGTCAAAGTAGTGGTCAACTTCTTGCAGGCACAAGATGTCGGGCTTGTACGCAAGGATTTCCTCCAGGATGAGGCACTTCCTCTCTTCCCATTTCAGAGCTTCCATGGGGCACTGAACAAAGTTGTCTTTGCCTTCTCCAAGAGCTGAAATTAGCAGGGAGGGAGGAAAAAAACCAAAGAAGTTACCGATAGCTAAAACAAGCTGTCTTCCTCCAAGTTTTGCAGAAGCCAGAGGCGAGGCTCTGCTCTCGGGAGCCAGCTGCCACCTGCTTGCAGCTCTGCAGGAGAGCAGGCGGTCTGTCGCAGCGCAAAACCTTATCTCAGGAAGCGGCACGAGGCTTTCGCACCACTTTGCTTTCTCTCTAAAAACGCGCGCACATCAGTTTACGTGCAGGTGATGGGTTTTTCAGGAGTAGCTGCTGACTTGAAGGGTGCTAGGCTTGCTAACGGGTGTGAGAACCCCTTCTCAAAACACTGAAATCTCTCCAAAAAAATTAAGTTCCCTTTACAGATACAAGCTAGATTAAAAACTTCTCGCCCTTCCCAAAGGTCACTACACTGTGGCAAGTGCTTCCACATGCGGCTGCCACAGCTTAAGCCTACGCAAAAAATGCAGTGGGACAGGAATGACTTAACTGCAGAATGTTAAGGCAGTCCCTATGTGAGGGATTTCCCACCCCAGAAAGATTTTAAGATGAGGCTGTTGCATACGTCAATAGCTGTAAATAGCCTTAATTTTAGGGGTCTGAGAAAAAAAAAATCAGTTAAAAAATATTTTGAAGCATTAAGAATTCCCATAACAGATCTGAATCCCTGAATAGTTCACTGATAAAATAATTAGAAAACTGTACAGAAGCTTTACAAAAAGAAGAAAACTCAGGGAAGGATGAGTCTTTTCTGGGGGCTAACAACTATCTAAAAGTGACGGGTCGCAGCTTTTGAATATACTGTGTTCAGTTAAGGCAGGCATTCAGAGCTACCTTTGGCATCACAGTTGCAAGGAGAGACCTTTTTTCCTTTCCTATAGAACGGAAGGCAGGCCACTGTTGCAAGTGGTGAAAATCTCACCCCGGCACTCAGCTAGTTGTGCCTCATGCAATTCACCTCTCTGCCTCTGCTCTGCCAGTCCCAGGCACGCCTAACTACGCACACACATCTGCATTTAAAGGTTTTCATTGCTGCATTTGATCTCAAGGTCACACCTTGCCCTTAGAGACAGCTCCTACCTTGGGCAAGGATGTTCCACTGCATGACCCGAATGGGATGGTGGTTAGTGGCAGCGTTTTTCTTCAGGTCCACAAAGTCCCTCTGAAACCGTGGCGGCCGTTTCTGCAGAACGATCTGACATTCCTCCAGCAAATCCTTGGGGTCTATAGGATCCAGCCGTGCTGAGTCCAGCTGCTCCAGGCAGTCCTGGTGTTGGGACACGGCACTGCTGCTCAGCGTCTTGGCGAGCGCGCTGTAGAGCCGGCTGGTGCTGTTTCCCATGGAACACACTGGAAAGGAAAAAAATGGTGTTAGAGAGGTCCACCATGACTCTTCTCACCACTTAGGTACCTTACAGATAACCTCGTCACAGTGCCAGCCGCTTCTGGTTTGTGCAGGAGCCTGTTCCTGAATCTGAGATAAAATAAGAAGGATGCAGAGACAGGGTTTGGTCTGTCCAGTGTCTCATGTTTTGCTTATTATCAGGGGCTGCTAACCTCTTGCTGCTTGCAAATGGTCTGGTTTAAGACATTGTGCAGGTGTCATCTAAGGGAAGAAAGGAACCTTTCATCCAGAATAGCAGGGCTAAAATTAACTTCTGCACCTGTCGTAGCAAACAGAATAGCATGTCCTTTCCCCCCTCTCACAGAGGAGAGAGCCCAGCAGGTAGACAAATGCTGCCTGCCCCTTATCTCGTGTGCAGCATCTGTCTGTAACGGAGACGGCCCTCTGCACGGCCGGTGCCCTGGGCCTGTCTGGGATGGCCGTGGGCCTCCTGCCTGCAGAGCAGCAAGCATGGCAGCTCATTCCCGCAGGTTAATACTTCATAGGAATCGCCGATCACAGCTTCCTTTGCCCCAAAAGCAGCAACATTTTCCTGAGGCAGAAGCGCCTAGATGCTTCTGCTGGCTTAGACCTCGGGATGTGGGATGCAGAAGGGGGTCTCTCCACCTCCCCTTCACACCCCTACGCTCATTCCCCCTCGCCCTCCTTTCTCCCTTCGGCTCCTTCGTGCCGTGCCCCAGCTCAGCAGCCTCCAGCACAGCCTGCGGTCCTGCCCGGGCCCCACCGACCTCCCACTCCTTTGGCCACCTTAAACACACCTCCTACAAACAAGCAGCTTTTCCCCCAGCTCTCCCTGTTGCTCATGCCGTTAGCCCCTCCGCCCCCGGTCTCCTGCAGAGAGGTCCCCCCATCCCACACAGGGTCACAGCTGCCCTGGTGTGGGGTGTACATGCGTGTCCCCCGCTCTGTTTTACCCTTTGGCTTACGCACAGGAGGTGGCTGTGGCCCTCTTCCCTTAGCAGGGGTCAAGCAGCAGAGCCATCCCTTTCAGAGAGCAGCCCCCATGACTACTGTGCTATAAAATACCTCCTTCTCCCACTTCACCAGAGCACACCCAGTACCAGCGGGCAGCTGTAAAGACCCCGAGGCTGGCTTGCTTACTCCAAACACACAGATGGTTAGTGTAGCTGTGGAGGAGGATGCACAGAGTTCATGATGTTCCTATGCATCTCCGCAGGGCCGTGGGTGCCCCAAGATCCCTTCCGACCCTTCCTCAGGGGAAGGGTTTTGTTCTGAAGTGCCACCCTTGCCACAACACACGGGGAATGCTTGAAAGGAGTCTGTGTTTGCACTTTTCCACACTTGGTGCTCTGCCCAAGGAGCGTGCCTGGACACTTGGTTTCCCTTTAAACACAGGCAGGCAGGGCAGCGCTTGCACCCAGCAACTTGCACAGGAGGCAACACCGACAGAGTTCCACTGTCTCAATTTATTTACTCTGAATGCATTTCACAAAGGTAATCTTCAGCAAAAGAACTTAAGTGTTGCATTGCTGTTGGCCCACAGCAGTTTTTAGTTTTTTAGGTCTTTTAAAGTTTATTTGTACCTTTGAGTTACTTAAAAACAGAAGAGCCTTGTCATCTTGCACTCACGTCTTGCGGCGGATTTGGGGTGCTACCCAACACATTCGCGTGTTCAGCCTTTGCTAGCCCGAACTACGGCATTACCAATCATGAGAGCTGGTGACAGACCTGGCTAGAGGGGAAGGCAGGAAGATGGAAGCCCTACCAGTTCAATAAACATACTGAGGAGGAGTAAAAGAGAAAAGACAGACCCTGCAGCAGCAGCCTCATGTCCTTGTCTTTAGGAAAGTGGGTACTTCTAAAGACACTGGAAAATACTTGCTTTAGTGTATGTTTTGTACGTGTAAGCCAGAGGAATAGTGCCTCTGAACAGTTCTAAGACTGTCATAAACTGGGAATTTAAATTGGATGCAGGACATCTCTCCCCACCTCCATCCTTTTAAAGTACCAGGAGTTCCTCAAACCGAGATGTGAGCCTGGGCTCACAAGCATGAATGTCTTTCCAGGGGAACTGTGTTTAAAGTGTTTCAGCTTCTGCAGTCTTTCTTAGTTTACAATTCTTGCCAAGAAGCCAAGTATTGCTGAAGCAGAAGAAACACCATTTAATAGTGAGAGAAGCAGGCCCAAACATGAAATCCCTAAGCAGGACCCTGACACGGCTGCGAGGGGATGGGGAGCAGGAACGAAAGCGTGCTCTGTACTGGTTACAGAAGGGTCCAACTTACACGCTACCAGAGCTACCAGGCAGCCACACAGAAACCCAAAGAAATCAACAGAGCCTTTAATGAAAGCTCCACAGGGAGCTCCTCAACTAGTTTTGGGTAGGTACAACCCACTATTAAGTGCTGCTACGGGAGAGAAGTACTCGGTGCTTTCTGCTACCTCAGGGATGCTGTCAGCAGCCGAGTACAGCCACGAGCCCTACGCCTCGCACACCCCTGCCATGCCACTGTTGAACACAGCTCATGCAGGGCTCTCCAAACGAATAACGAGGAGTTCTTCTGCTCCAAGAAGCCATTAGCAAGAGCCCAGGCTGCTCGTTGCTTGAACCTGAACCAGAGGGAGGATGTTGAAAGGGACACACTAGGTGCAGTGCGTCTGGAGCCAAAAGCCTACCCTGAAACTCGGAGCAGCTTCCATCTGTTACAGCAGGATGAAGTCTAAGCGCAGCCACGCACCTGCCAAGCTGCAGCCACCACCAGAGTATTGTCTAATTCTCATCATCCCTGGAGTCAGGGGGTATCCAGCTCTTTACGGAGAGTCAGGCATAGCCTACCCTGCACAGGATGCGCTACAGCTCAGCTGCAGCACAGATCTGACAGCTTTTAAAGTCCGTAATGTCTTGGGAAGGAAAAAGAGCTTACGTCTTCTTTTGAGAGCCCAGGGAAGGTTGGGTGAAAGAGGGCCTGGGCTGCAAATCAAAGGCTTTCAGGCCTGTTGTAGGTGGCTTGGGAGTCCTTGGCTGAAGGGGGACTCCTGCGGGAAGTCTCCAGGTTAAGATGACTGATGAACCGCACAAGTTCTTTGTCCCCAGAGCGCTGAAACCATCACAGCACAGACGGAATCATTCTGCAGAACAGGGCCCAGACCAGCAACCTGAACATTGAAACTCCAAACACAAAATCCATTTGTTATTTTTGCAGTGCTTAACATGTCCGTGGCAAGTACAAGGTCACTGTTCCGAGATCCTTATAGTCCAAGTTAAATGACCTGTGACTTGCCAGGATAACGTCTGCTGCTGGCGCTGGGACACCGTGGTGCTGGTGTGTGCAGAGGAACGAGCGGACTCCTGAGCCTGCACTTTAGCAGTGGGTGGTGAACATGAAAGCAATTCTCTTGGTGCGATGTTAGAATAGGGAACACCAGCTCAGCAATTACTATTCAAGGTCCTTAAAACAAAATAAAAAAAAAGCCTTCCTCTCAGCAAGGGTGGTGCCTCAGCACAGTAAGGGCAAGGGAAGAATTTGAACTGTTCATTAAACTTCAGAAGAACAGGGTGCAAAGTTCAAGGTTTCTTGTGTGACCCAGCAACAGCAAGGAAGAGATGAATTTCTAGGATCTTGGGCGACGAGGAGTCACCGACTTTAAGTACTTTGCTTCAAAGATGAGGGCTGCAGAGGGGTATGAGAGCCAGAGCCCCTAGCTTTTGGGCAAGGTGAAGAGCATTCCGGTTTCCCTTCCTTTAATCTCCTACCCCCCAGCACTGCTTTTGGCTGACAGCCCCCCCACCTTGTTCACTGCAGGGATCTCGCTGCCAGCTGAGCGGCTCCACCACACCTGCAGCCTGGTCTGTACCTGCATCAGCCTCCACAGCCCAGGAGGCCGGCGGCAGCCAGAGATGCCCTCCCTGCAACCACAATTCTAGGAGAAACTTGGCAGACACCGTCCCCATGTGACAAACTCCACGCCGCAGGGTATCGCGCTACATCTATAGCCTTGTTTGGGCCAGCAATGGGACTGCAGCCCTGGGCCACCCGCATTCAAAGCGGTGGTTGCTGATGCTTGGAGCTGGAGTTCTGATTTCGGCACCTAGGCCAGTCTTATGCACAGGGGAGGCAGGACCCTCATACAGGGATTTGGAGAGCTCGTCACAGCAAGGAAGGTGCTGCTGAGTCAACAGGCAACACCAGAAAGAGGAAGGAACCTCAAATCCTGCCCTGAGCGATCCACAGGATCGGTACTTGGCAGAAGCTCTGGAAACCCTTTTCTCATGAGTGCTCTAATCATGAGCTTGGCTTTGTTGGCTCACAGGCACATGTGCTCCTCTTCCCTGGCGCTCCGTGAAGCTTCAGTCCTGCTGTTTGGCATCCT